AACCAGTGTTGATTTTGGAATTTTGGTCTTTTCAGTAAATGAGTTTTACTACATGAAGATCTCATCTTGGCAAGGGGCAAGATGACATAAATCCACACAGCCAGGGAAGGGCACAGGCTCGAGGCCCACGGGGAGGCTCTGTGAGGTGTCTAATCTCCTTTTATGGACAAAGCAGATAAAACTCCGGGCTCTGCATTCCCTCCGCTTTGCAGCAACCGTTGCCTTTTGCCATGCCTGTACGCTCGCTGCGGTTAGGCAGTACCCAGCGTTGCCTGGAGTTCTCAGCTCCCATCTGACTGGCCCTGTGTGGCTCTGGGCCCTGGGCACAGACCTGAGAGAGTGCTGAGCACAGCCCTTCATCCTTCATTCTGTAGTCTGAGAGCAATGAGCGGTTCTCTGTGAACTGTCGGAGTTCATTGCCCATGTCAAGATGAAGCTTCAGTCTTGCAGGACTCTCACTTCATGGAGCCCCAGATGCTGTTTGTCATCGCTGCTGTGTGTGTCTCTCCTGCATGCTGTTGCTGGCTAACTGCTCTACTGCTTTTGCTTCCTTAAGTCTGTTCTCAACCCATCAGCCAAGTGAATTTGTTAAAGTATCAGTTGGATTGGTCTTGGCTTTCAGAATAACCTGTTATCAGGTTTTCTAGGTGTAACTGCGAGGGGAGTATAATGAAGGGTAACAGTGGAAGAGTTGGTATGCTGGGATAACAAGCTAATACTTGGCCTGCAGCACCAGCATCTTATATGGCTGCCAGTTCATGGTTCTAGATGGTCCACCTCCAATCTGGCTGCTTGTGGCTTGGAAAAGCAGCAGAGGATGACCCAAACCCTTGGGAGCCTTCACCCATGTGGGAGATCCTGAAGAAGGTCCTGATTTTGGACTGTACAGTCCTGGCTATTATGGTCACTGGAGAGGGAACCAGTGAATGCAAGCTGTCTCTCCCTCTCTATGTAGTTCTTTAAAGCAAATAAATGTTAACACATGCATACATACACACAGGTGGAAGCTAAACACTAAATCAGTGCTTGAACAGGTATTCTGAAGAGGCAATGCACAGTTAAGACCATGCAGGAAAACAGAAGAACTGAGTGGGAAAACTTAACTCGGGGCTAGGTTTTATTGAACGTAGTTTGAGGACATCCGAGTGGGAGAGTCCAAGGAAAAAAGTGATGGCATAGGGTCAGAGCTTGATAAAACAATTTGCCATTTTACTCAAGAGCTCTTCAAATCATTCATGAAAAATGCATATTATGAGAAGGCCTTGAGGCACAGATTTCACAACGGGTTAGCACTACAATGAACTCATCTTTCAATTCCATTTCTCATGAAAATTTTGAAGTATGGTTATCCCTAGGATAGTAACAGCCATACAGCCATGAGTACCAGAAGCTATTGGAGAGAGGAGGCAGATTGTCACAACACAGAGAATGAACCAGCTTACGGGGAGGATGAGGAAATGGGAAGCCCATGGAACCTGCAGATAACACTAGCTGCCCACCCACCCCGCCACCTACTGCTCATTTTTACCTTACTAAGCCATGGAAACTTCCATCAGAGACACAGCAACATTTTACTTTTGACATGTAGCAGCTTTAAAAAAAATTGCATTTGTGGATCTGGCACGGTGGCCCAGTAGCTGAATATTCTTACCTAGCACATGCCAGGATGTCATATATGGACTCTGGTTCCTGTCTTGGCTGTTCCTCTTCCCTTCCAGCTCCCTGCTCGTGGTCTGGGAAAGCAGTAGAGGTTGGCCCAAAGCCTTGCACCTGCCTGAGAGACCCAGAAGAGGTTCCTGGCTTTGGACTGACTCAGCTCCAGCTGTTGTGGCCACGTGGGGAGTGAACCAGTGGATGGAAGATCTCTCTGTCTCTCTACCTTTCCAATAAAGAGATAATTTTTAAAAATACATTTGTCCCGTTAAAGTGACCGAGTTCAACATATTTTAAGAACATAACCAGGCTATGTCATCTCTGTAATTTGCAACCCCAGCTTCTCTATGGAAGTTGCACAATGCTCTTTTGAAATGCTTCACAAACTGTTTAGACCAGTAGCTGGCTGACTTTGTGCCCAATTCCATTTGGTATCAGACCCAGGCCAAACATGAAAGTGATCTTCATTATACCCAAGTGGGAGGTGGCTGACATCTCTGTTTTGCAAATTTCATTTTCAGAGACCCACAAAAGAAATCAGGACAAAAAACCAAAACCAAAACCAAACGGGACTCCTTAATACTGCTCTCTCCTGCAGCAAAGCAGGACTAAGCCTCACCTGTCCGCGTAGCTTTCTTTCTCCTCCAGTTAATCCCAGTATCATCGGTCTTTGCTTACACGGAGAAATCTGCAGAAGTTAAATTATTTTAAAATTTGAGTTTCATCTGGTAACGGTTGAGCTACTCTACACAAATATTCTTCTAAGAGTTGAACAAACGTAGGACGCAGGAAATCACATGCAAATAATCTCCCACAGCCATTCTGTTTTAAACAAAGGTGTTAGGACTTTGAACCTGGTAGTTTTATTTATTTATTTATTTTCCTGATCTGTAAGACATAGGGAGATCTCCTATGTGCTGGTCCACTTCCCGAATGTAGGACTGGGTCACACTGAAGCCAGCTCAGCACTGAATCCGTGTCTCTCAGTGGTCAAGGATCCAGCTACTGAAGCATCATTTGTTGTTGAAACTAGACATAGTGGCTCTGATATAGTAAAGGCAGAAGGGGTCCCCAAGCCACCTAGGCTCCTGCTGCAGCATCTATGCTGAACTTTCTCAGTCAGGTGCTTTTCTGTCTCCTTTTTTACGAATTTATTTTCTTTTGTATTGGAAAAGCAGATATACAAAGAGGAGACACAGACAGAAAGATCTTCCATCTGCTGGTTCATTCCTCAAGTGGCCCCAGCAGCTAGAGCTGAGCTGATGTGAAGCAAGGAGCCTCTTCCAGGTCTCTCATGCAGGTGCAGGGACCCAAGGCTTTGGGCTGTCCTCTGCTGCTTTTCCAGGCCACAAGCAGAGAGCTGGAAGGGAAGTGGAGCAGCCAGGATATGAACCAGCACCCATATGGGACCCCAGTGTTTGCAAGCAAGGATTTAGCCACTAGGGTATTGTACTGGACCCAATTCAGGTGCTTTACAATTCAATGCAGCATACTAGACTGGCAAAATCTAAGTACCCGTGCATTTCCTTCACTGTTTATTTATTACCAGCACCAAGAAAGTGCCCTGCTCCTGGCAGGAGTCAAATGCAGCTCAGTCAGTGAACGCTGAATCAACACGCCAATCACCGTGAGGCTGCAATCCTAGGATGTAGGGATTGGGCATGTTAGGGATGCCAGCCTTTCAAAACCACCTCAAAATAGGACACACATGTTCTCACTTAAAGCATTTATTGTTTAAAATTGCCTGAGCCCACAATGTTAACAAAATAACAGTGCTTTCCTTTCTCAGCACCCTGATGGAGGTAAATCAAAGAGACACAATTCCTGTGATTTTTAGAGGAAAAAGGGACCACTGTAATGTTTTTTGTCTCTTAAGACTCGGGCCTGTCCTTTCTAAGCACCCAGAGAAACAGATGCCACCTCTACACTCAAATCCAGGAGTTTTCCCCAGGCAGGCTTAGCAGTAATTAGGCAGAGTGGCCACTGTGACAGCGCTGTGTCCTGCCCACTGGCCAGTGGCTCTGCCTTCCTCCTGGCACAGTGCCTTTTCCCTGCACCTGCACACGTGTGGTCCTGTCTTCCCCAGCCCCACCCTCAGCAGGTTGCAATGCAGGCTGAGAACACAAGGCTGTGTGCTTTGGAACAAGACATTGCTCTGAGCTCTTAGGGCTTCCAAGTAGACTGCTGAGCATTCTGCCAAAGCCAATGTCAATGACATACTGGTGCTGGCTGCCCTTTATGGACTCATCATTTAAAGATTTGCAGTGTGAAATGACCTCAGGGATCCATTTAAAAATGACAAAACATCACCCAAAGTCCATGGTTGCTATCAGGTTCATGCTCAATGTTGTACATTTTATGGTTTGGAACAAATGGGTTCATCATGACAATATCATCCAGAGCATTTGACTGCACTAAGAATCCTGGGTTCTCTGCCCACGCATCCCTCCTCACACCTCAAGCCACCGATCTTGTTGTCTCTACAGTCCAAGTGATCATGATCCGTACTAATTCATCAATGATAATACACATATCCTCTGGTGGAGCACATTGTGGGGGACCCTATAGGACTTTATAGAATGATAAAGTGGGGGACCCTGTAGGACTTTGTCGAATGACTACCTTCCTCTCCATTTAGCAGCCCTAAAAAGGTCTTTTCCTTTTTTTTTTAATGACAAAATTGAGATTCTGTGAGGTTAAGAGACTTGATCAAAGTCACAGAGCTGATCTCTCCAGATGCCTCACTACTGTGAGCTGCATACACCATGCCATGCTACCTCCACATCCTGTGACAATGGGAAGACATCAAGAAACACATGAGCATTCATGGTCTGCTCCTTCTTAGGGATATGGGTGAGAAACAGAGTTGGGAAGAATCCCCTTGAGGTTGGATGAAGTCATCTGCTCCAATGAATAGCAGAGAAATGGGCTCCACCTTGCAGCTTTCATTTGGACTCGATGCTCATCACCTGCCCTCACCCCACCCTCATTTGCCTGTCCACACCTGCACATGGCTCTTAATGCTGGGTCCCATGTGTGGGAGACATTCCCCCTCGTCCCCCTTGTCCCCTTCATCCTGACAGTGTGGGAGGGCCACTGTACTCTTGTCTCTGGGCAGATGAATTCCTCTCCAAACTTGGGGACACTGAGTCCTTGCTAATAACTCTATAACAAAATATGTAAGCAGCATTGTCACTGACTGGCCTACCAATCAGACTCTGAATTCCAACATGGTAGGATGGGTCTGTTTGTAATTCTAGGAATGAACTCCAGGATGGGATCCAGGGTATGTGCTCAAGAGTTATCTGTAGAAGACACAGGTATAGCATTTCTTTTTGTCAGAGTAGTTTAAGGCTAGAAAGCATTTTAATCAAAAAATAAATACAGCTTATACAAGGAGGCAGTTGACAGAAAATACTGGCTATTCTAGACTTGACAAGTCCAGTATGACACAAACTATGTATTATTAAGACAGAAAAGCATGTTTACCTTCCATTTAGAAAAATGACTGTCCTAGCACTGTGATATTTCATTGTCCTGAAACTTAATAAACATTCAGTTTGACCGTAAATAACAAAATGGCCATTACTTCCTTTAACAGGTAGAAATGGATGGATGGAAAATCATAAATCTAAAAGAATAGCTTGCTCCTAGCCCATGGCTTCTCAACTAAAGTCCCCTGAAAGGTTGTATATTCACAACTCATGAGGAAATAAAAGGCACAGATTTAAAAACAGGTATAGAAAAAAAGACTATGCCAATTTCTGATTTCAGAAAAATCATGCAACAAAACCAAAGTCAAGTCAAGTTACTGCTCATAGTCTGTGCTGTTTCAGGACCAGGAATTACACTAGCCCTTGCTTAAGCCAAAAACTGAACAACACAGGATTTTACAAATTACAAATCATTAACTGCTTGGTTCTTTAGATTTAAAAAGATATAAAATTAGTATCAACAAATCAGATGTTTAAGCTGCTTCTCCCAGTATTTGTATGATCCACAAGGGCATCTGATTAGAACAAAAAAAGTTGGAGGTTTAAGGAAGTTACCGTTTGGAAGTATCCCTGGCCCACTTTCCAGGTTTCCAGGAAATGCACAAACATAAGCACAATAGCTGATCTGTTTCTTTTAGTTTCCAAAGAATTGATACACACATCAATGTAAATATAACTAAGTGGCAGTCCTATAGATTATCAGCTCGGAGATTAGTCATCACATAGATTTCCACATTATTTCAAATACATGTAAAAAGAATTACAGAGAAGATATACATTCACAAAAGTTAAGGCATTATTCATTCTGATGTTTTTGAGTTAGCTAGTTTTGAATATCAGGTAATACCCAGGCTCAACATCTTTAAAGGAATGTTGGTTTGTTACGTTTGGCTCTCTTTTCTTTATTTACCTTAAAGATCAAGCATAAGAAAACAAGAAACGAAGATCTATCTAGAAGGTCCTCAATACTACTACCTCAATACATTCAGCCCTCAGTATTACTGCTAATCAGGTTAAGCTTAAGTGGAGATAAGTTTTGGAATGTTTTATTCTGCCTTTGGCTGCAAATTATACTTTTGTGGCTGGAAAAAATGTTCTTCGATGGCATTGACTAGTTCATTCAGTTGCTTCTTCAACTGCTCTGGGTCACTAGAAAGCAAGAGAAAAAAAAATCCAGATCAGTGAATAATTGCAAAGCACATTTTCAATGCTCGCCCAGTGACCAGGTGATGCTGAAATTTAACCTTGAGAGAATGATCAAATGAGAAACAAACAACAACAAAAAACAGAGAACTAGTGATTTAAGCTTGGGAACATATTTGTTAACAGATCAAAAAAACCATGAGATAATGAGCATTTTTTTCCCCAGACGACTTCCAAAGGTCTTAACTGTAAACAAGATCATCTATTGTTCTAGTCATGAGAATAGAACACAAGTTTTTGGCCTAGCATTCTTGAGCGATATATAATAGTGCAGAGAAAACTGCTATGATTCCATGAAATTCTGCTGAATTTATTCCAGGAAGGTCTCCTGTCAAGTCCTCCATCTCCAAGGACTTGGTTCCTGACTAGGCTTGCCCTCAGACTGCTGCAGGCTAAGCCACAGCCCGGGGACAAGGCCCACTGAGCATGGACAGAGGTAAGGACGTACCAGGAGGCTGAAATTCCAGGCCATCAGTCCCTGGGGTTTGCTTTACTAAGTGCCTCGCATTACTAAAGCATAAACAAGAACCTATTATACAAAGACATAGCTGAGAGGAGAAACACAGAGAGGTGTCATCACATGAAGGAGTATAAGTCAGCAGAATTACACTATAATTCAAAGTGGCCAGATGAAAGGTGTTGCAATGATCTCATCACAAAGAAATAACAAGTGTTTGAGATAATGGATAACCTAAGTAGCCTGGGTAGATCACTGCACAATATTTATTCCACAGAAGTGTACAATTATCTATCAACCAAAAAAAACTTCTTTAAAAAACAAAGACGAATCTAGGGAGATGGAGTCCTCTAAGATTAAGTTTTCAAGAGTGATACACTCACCTGTATGCAAATAACTACAAGCTAAAGGATAAAACTGAATTCCCAGCACCTATGCAGCCTTGTATGTTACTTTAATCTTAAACTTGAAAAGCTGTATTTAAAACAGACCCTTTATTCCATTTATTTCTTTACACTGCAACGTTAATATGTGCCAAGCTTATTTTTATGGAAATAGCAGTCCCTGTCAGTAGTTAAGATCATTTTTATAAGTACATTTTTAAAAAAAATAGTATAAAGAAAGCAATCAATTTTATTCTGCCTTGTGTACTTATGTATGTAACAGTATGAGCCCTGCTGTAAACGGCAAAGCTTCCCTAGGGCCAAGTTGGTTACTCTGACCTTGAGAGAAAGATGGCCTTCTCAAGAGAGCTACTGTACAGATTGAGATACTTTATATGACGTAATTAGGCCAGAATCAGACCCAAAGACCTCAATAACTGTAGCTATCATAATTATTTTTATTCTTATTGGGGACATGTGAAATAATCATGCTTCATGAAGACATAGCAATTATACTATTTTTGTAATTTCTCCATAAATATGCCTGGAAGAAAATAATAATTCTCATAAAAGCACATATTTCAAAGGAGAATACAAGCTGGTGGGTCTCAGGATGGGGTGTCTCATGCCTGGATCCCGGACGGCTGCCATGGGCACATGGTAAGCCGTTCCCAGGCCTGCTGGGTTCCGGGGGCTGCTTCTTTCGGGGTGAGTAGACCGAGCGGGGAGGCCTCTGGGACTGGGCAGGTCTGGGACCCACCCGCCACCCTCATTGGGCGGTGAATGGGATTTGGGAGGGGCGCGACCTTGAGCCTGGGAATTTAAAACTCCAGCAGCCTCCTGGCAGCTGGTGGGTCTCAGGACGGGGTGTCTCATGCCTGGATCCCGGACGGCCGCCATGGGCACATGGTGAGCCGTTCCCAGGCCAGTGCGCCAATGCTGCCAGGCTCTGACTGCTGGCCGCCCAGCTGGGGAGCTCTGGGGATTTGGTTGAGTCGCTGCTTAATTAGCTCCAGGTTGAACCCATTGTGATTTTTAGGACCTGAAACAGGCAGTAACTCTTCCTTTGTAAAACTTGTAATCACTGAACAATGCTGACCACCAAATACCAGTCCATGCAGAAGCTATGGCTTGGGGCTTGTCCTGCAAAAGTAGCTCCAACAGCTGGCTAATGTGTCAACTGGTAGGGAACAGAGTAGATCAGGCAGGACTGAGCAAACCTTAGCTCACAAGTAAAACTAGCAACCAGGAGGGAGCACAGGTCATGCAGAGCTAGGCTCTTGTACCTACTGGTCCACATGAGCCAGGGACGCTAAACCACAGTGTCTAAGGCAGAGGTCGGGACAGGTGAGGGGCTGTGCCAAGCTGAGTCAGAGCAACCACTGGCATGCGAGTGATCTATGGCTGGGAACAGACCCGGTTGGGGAGCTAAGGGGACAACCCTAGCTGGGCTGAGGTTCCTACCAAGGGGTGTGTGACCTGGAATGGGGGCTGCGTTCTGATCGGGAAACGGTTGTAGTCTCCCTTGGCACAAGTGTGGACTGGGATTGGATGCACCAAACCGGGCCAGACCCCCCCACACCCTCTGGTGTTCTGGAAGACCAGGGCAGATGTGCAATGGACTAGGCAAGGTCTCAAACACCTACTGAGCCATGTGTGAGCCATACGTGGGTATGGACGAGCCATGGCTGGGCTGAAACATCCAACAGCAAGAAGCAGATTGGGTGGAAGGCCAGTCAGGAAAAGCCACAGTTTCTGCTATGACAGGAGGTGGACTGAGTAGGGCTGACTCATGGACCCCCTGGTAAGCGTGAAACCTGGCATTGGGACAGGTTCTGATGGAGGAGCCTGGGCAACTCCTCTGGCAGGACACAGACCCGGCAGGTCAGCGCAAGAAACATGATAGGAAACAGCCCAGAAAAGGCCATGGAAAGCTACCCACTGGCATACAATTGGCAGACGTGGGGGCAAGACCAGGCTGAATCTGTCCACGTCATCCACTGGCAAATCCAGGCACCAGTGTGGGTCAAAAAAGGTTCGGTCGCAACAAGGACTAGTGCACAATATGGAATGCCGAGGTGAGGTTGCCTGTACCAGAAGGGACCGCAGCGTCCAACCAGCATGAGAACAAGAAAGGAAGTGGGCAGAGCCAGCAGGGGAATAAGGGAGGGTTCCTTTGCAGGACAGCTACTTCCACAGGAGAGCATGGGCTGGGATGGGGGCAGACCAGACTAGGCAGAGCTACCACACCTGTGCGCCTCATGTGGACTAGATCAGGGAAAAGCCGGGCTGGGCTCGGTGGATTATTCCTACTGGTGCAAACAAAATTAAAGTGGGCGAGGGTTGTTTGGGCAGCATCAACTGGAATCTGGGAGTGGGAGAGGCCTGGGAGGGAAAGAGTGGGCTCATCCCTCTTGGGATTTTTGTTGGAAAGGCAGGGTTACCGGCGAATGAAGAGAGACAGAGATCATTCATCCACTGGTTCACTCCCAAAATCACTACAATGGCTGCAGCTGCATTGGTCTGAAATCAGGAGTTAGCAGCTTGAACCAGCACCCATATGTGATGCCAGAACCATAGCAAACAGCTTTACCTGCTATGTCACAGCACTGGTACCCCTAGTAGAGTCTTATAAGCCTGTATACCTACACTACAACCCTGCACGTCTGCATTTATGTGTGTAAGTAAGAGAAAAACATAGATTCAGAAAGTCAAGGGTAACTAGAGCACCTTCATATAAGTCTCAGAATGGACAGCTCTGGAATCTCTCCGTAATTGGATATTTTAAATCATTTGTGCAATGGATTTGTATTTTGCAACAAGAGGGGCTGGTGTTAAAGGTAAGCTTCTGCCTGCAATGGCAACATCCCATGTGAGTGCTCATTCATACCTTTACCTTGCCCCTTCCAATCCAACTCCCTGCTACTGTATCTGGCAAGGCAATAAGGGATGGCTCAAGTGCCTGGAGCCCTGTGACCTCATGTGACTTGGATGACGGAGATCCAGCTCCTGGGTTGGGCTGGTACAAATGGAGTCATCTCGGCCAAGTGGAGAGTCAAACAACAGATGGAAGATTCTGCCTCATCCCTGCCTCCTAACCCTGTGTGTGTGTGTGTGTGTGTGTGTGTGTCTTAATTCTGCCTTTCAAAGAAAGAAACAAATCCTTTTAAAAACATTGACATGGAAAGGATACAAACTGCTGATTCATGAAGACTAGATGCACCTTTTTGGTAAAGGTGGCATTTTTCATAGATCTATGTATATTTGAAAGGCAAAGTGACAGCAAGCAAGGGGAGCAGAGGGAGAGAAAGACAGATCCTCCATCCACTGGTTCCCACTCTCCAAATGCCTATGCCAGCTGGGGCTGGGCTAGGACACAGCCAGGAGCCCAGAATGCCATGTGTGTCCCTGACTTTGGTAGCAGGGACCCAGGGACTCAGACCAGCAGCTACTGCTTTTCTCACTGCAACAGCAGGCAGCAGAATAAGAAACACAACAACCAGAACTCACACAGAACGACACTATGACATGTGGCCCTTCAGATCCACTCAGCCCCAACCACTGTGGCCACTTGGGCAATGAACCGGCAAATGGAACACCTTTCTCTCTGTATCTCCTCTCTGTAAGTCTGACATGCCAATAAAAATCAGTAAATCTACATAAAAATAAATAAAGCTGTAGTAACTAAAACCACATGGCACTGGCATGTCCAATGCAACAGAACAGATACCCACAAATTCAGCTATGTGCTCACAAGTGGTTGCTTTCTGACAAAAGTACTTAGACCATATATCTCAAACAAACAAACAAACAAACAAACAAAACAAGTATTACTCTCTATCCCTAACTTCAGAGACACCTTGTGGGGATCCTTTGATTCAAGCAGAAGGTTTTTTGAAAAAAATCACTCAAAACTGTCTCCAGCTCTGATTGGACCATGTCCTGCTCTGACATCATACAGAACCATTTACAGGTCACAATTCCAAAGCCCTATATAAAGCCCTGGCCGGGCCTGGGCCTTTTGTCCAGGAGCTCTCTCCACTGGAGAGCTCTAGGACCAGCACTAAGCTAGCTGTTTATTTTTTTTTTTAAACCTCTTTTATTTT